TACTGTAAAAAAAAGTAAGACTCGCTCTACCTAGACAGGTGCTGAAACCTTTTTGGTGTCCCCTGGAGGCATTGATGTTGTTTCTTGGCTCATTGATCTTTAGTGGTGATATGATTTCAGGTCAACTATGCCATTACTGAGCTGGGGAAATGTATTGGGGATACCCTAATCCTATTTTTAGATGATCACTCTTTAGAGCATAATTTCTTTGAGAGATCGAACATACCAGCTTTTCAGTGAGACTAGAATGGTGATTCTTGGGCAGGAAAAGGAAGCAAAGTTGTCAATACTTCAGCAAAAGTATAGTGCTCAGGGTAAGGGAAGGAGATCATTTGGAAAGAATATTTCTACCCTAGGCTAGTTTCCTTGATATTTAAAAATGCATTTACATATAGGGTTAAGACAGAGATCTGGGATGGGAAGGGGAGTTTAGGAGGAGACAGGTGGCACAGTTATAGGGCATTAACTCTTCGTATCTGCAAGACCTACACTCAAGTACTGCCTGATTGACAACTGCAAGTGACAGTCATCTCTTTGTGCTCCCACAGCTATCTGACCACCTAACAAAACCATCACAAGTTTATATTTAGTGCAAAGGCAGTCTCTATTCAGGATTATAGCCCCAGAATAGAATAGTGGGGGTGGCTCAATCTAGAACTGAGGAGCACTGGCTGATGGTACTTCTGGCATTAGTCAGTGATAACTAAGTCAGCTTTAGGCTTTGATCCTAAATGGAACTCCACATTGACTTTAATGGAGCCCTGACAGGACCTTCTAATTTTAAAGTGATTCAAGAACTGTGCCTGATAAAAGTGTTACAGCAGGATAAAATAGACCAGTGCTGCGCAACGTTTTGATCCCATGGGCTGGATGGGTGGTGTGCAGTCTGGATCTGGTCCGTGGATGCTGGCATGGGCCGTGTGCACAGGGCCATGTCATCTGGCCAGCAGGGCTTGGAAACTTGGTAGCAAGGGAGCCAGGGCTGTGTTAATTGCTGCTGCTCTCCTGCTGCCAAATTTCTGGTCATGGGGAGCCTTGCTGGCCAGGTGACATGGCTCCTCAGGCCAGATTTAGCCCATGGGTTGGAGGTTTGAGCATCCCTGAACTAGACAGTCTAAAAATCAACCCTCCTAGTCATTGCTCTTTCACTTTACATTTCTAATAATAATGTGTAAGAGTTGTCAATCAAAACTGACTACTGAATGGCATCCTTTTCATTCTTTTTGAAGCTTTTTGAGGAGTGAATAGATTGCCTTTGTGTAGGCAGTCTGCACTTCTTGGGTTTCCTTTGTTTTTCTTGACATGTTAGAAAGAGGAATTCATCAAAAAGTATGTAGAAGATGATGATAAATCCTAGGTTGTAATCTGTTCCAGCAGATTACAACAGTCTCTGCTAATATCCTTATTTATGAAATTGCATAGAATAAAACAATTTCTGTGTTGGAGCCTTCCAAATGACTGTCTCTTAATGTTCTTAAAGCCTTGGACTTTTGAAACATTGCTTTTGGCAACATTATTATTGCCATATTTAAGTTTCATAGTAAGAGTGACTTTATTTGACATCTGAGAAGTAGCAATATTGGCCTACAGAGAAATAAATTGAGTAAATACCATTATTTATTTGAATACAAGATACGTTTTTTTTCCTCTCAGTCAGCATGAGGGAAAAAGTTCCTTGTCTTATATTTGGACACAAGGAAACCTGATTAAATGCGTTGTCTATGCTCAGTAGTGGAAACCAACTAGGAAGTTGATTAAATGTGGCCAACACTGAGCATGGCTATAAAAAACGTGGCCCATATTAGGCAAACATACTGATAGGAACCTTTTTTGTTATTTATTTACAAATTTTATTAAAAGCACACTTATCACCTTACACTTACAAAGCTTTTAGTATGCATCTGAATTCCATGGTGTTGGTGTAGTTTCGCCAGACATTGAGTCCCTGGAGGCCTAGATGGTGGAGAGATACTGGGAGGATACCATCCCCACCAGCTGCCTTCCATTTCTTTATTGCAGTTAGGAAGCGGTTAAGCATAATGGGAGGTGATGGTCACTGCAGTTCTCAAACTAGGTAAATGTGATTAACCCAGGAAGCTATAGACTAATATCTCCCCTCTGCACAACCTATACACTCTTGGAACATATCATCCTCAGGAGAATTAGCCCTTTTATCAAGCCAGTGATCCCTGATGAAGAAGTGGGTTTCCGGCCTAAGAGAAGTTGCTATGACCAAGTTTTGGCACTTGCAATACATATCGAGGCTGCTTTTCAGAAAAAATCCAAGATACGTGCAGCCTTTGTAGACCTGTCATCAGCCTACCCTTGCCTTGTTTCTTCTTCTCTTCCTCAGACCCGTCTTCTTTCTGTGGCTTCCTTTAGCAGCTCTTGCATTTGCTTTGCAGCTTTCTCAGATCTTTCCTTTTTTTCCCCATGCTTCTTTGGCCTCCCTTCCTGAAGAGTTGTTGCTTTTGAAGGGTTCTCCTCTGAACAAGTTAGTCTCTAATGAGCCACCCTAACCTACCTTCTGCTTGACTGCAGACTAGTACAGCTAACCTCCTCTCTGCAGGCTAACAATATGTGGCCTCACAGGATATGTGAGGGTAGATATACTAATGAGTTAAGGCTTTTCCTTACTATACCTGCAAAACTGGAAAAGTATCAGGTTATTTTCCCTACATGTCATTGCAAGTCAATGCGCAGCTGTCATTACAGTGGCAGCCTGCCTTTGCCCTGTACACAGATACAGGGGCACACGCCCCACATGCACTCCTGGGGTGCATGTAGTGGTGGGAGCTGCCCCTCATCTCCCCGCGACCCTTGGAGGAGTTGCTTGTGTGCCCTGCTCTGCCCCAGCTGAACAGTGCCTGCCCCTGGGGCAGCCCATTCCCTTTCTCATTGTGGGGGTCTCAATCTGCGCCCCACCCACCCTCCTCCCACCCCTTTCCCCACAACAAACTTACCAGCCTGACACTGCTCTCCAAGCTGCCGGGCTGCATATCAACAATCGGATCGTTATCGGCCGATATGGCTTGTTAAAAATTGGCCATCGGGATTGGTCCTAAAAATCTCTGTTTGTGCACTCCTAGTTACAGTTATGTTTTTTTTTTCTTCCTAATCTTTCTTTTTTTTGATAGAAATACAAAGTCAGTTCTTGATTGTTTCTGGTCACTGGGGTCAGTGCTAATGAAAACTTTCTCCCCTGCCCACACATCTTAGTGATTCTTTTTCTTTTAAATGTTATTTGCTAACAATGTGGATGAGCTGTCTAAAGTTCCATCTCCTCCCTGCCTTGTTCTGTCACTCACTTCTATTATGCAATTGAAGCCCCCCACTGTTATCTTTAGTCTCCCTTGAGCATGTAAACTGCTAGCTTTCTAAGCAGAGCCCTTG